TTCTTTAAGTGGCTGCTTCAACAAAGCTGTCAGGCTCAGGTTGCTGTGGTTCAATTCCCACAATTTAAGCCAGCCAAACCTGCCCTGAGGGCATTCAGAGCAAAAAAAAAAAAAATCCTTCTACCTTTTGGGGCCTGCCCCTTAGCTCGGTTCTTTAAGTGGCTGCTTCAACAAAGCAGTCAGGCTCAGGTTGCTGTGGTTCGATCCCCACAACTCAAGCGAGCCAAACCTGCCCTGAAGGCATTCAGAGCAAAAAAAAAAAAGATTTGGGCCCACCCTAGTAGCAGGATCCTGATAAGGTCCTACATGTTCACCAACAGGCCCTCTAGGGTCTAAAAATTTCCTTTTATGAGCTCAGTGCTGGTATCTATTCCCACTACAAAGATGAGGAAAGAGAGGGAGTTGCCCAGGGCACACAGCGGAACCAGCCTGGTTCAGGCCCACTGGCCTGGCTCCCTGGATGCAGCAGACTCCTAGGAGGAAGGCCTGTGGGCAGTGTGGACAGATAAAGGATGCTGTTCTGGCTGTACCATTCACACCGTTGCCCAATGCTGTCACCATCTCCTGACGCCAAAGTCAGTTTCAAGAAACCTTTATATCTAAGGCTGTGGTAACTTTGGAGAAAAAGAAATAAGAGCTCAGCAAATGGAGCCTGCTGGGTTGGTGGCCATCTCTCTCTCCTTGAACCATGGCTGGAAGGTGACACTGCTAAACAGGGAAGACCTGTCCTTACCTGAGTCTGGACCCCTTCTTTGGCACTTTAGGGACAGGTGGGTGGGGTGGTGGCCTAGTTTCCTCTTCTGTCCTTCAGACTGAGCTCTGTTCTAACCTGAGGCCTCAGTGCTGGGGAAGGTAATGATCTTTGGGTAATGATCTTTGGGGGAAGGGTGGGGAGGAAAAGCCTAGTTTTTACAACTCTGGATAGATGTAAGTTGTCTTTTTTTTTTTTTTTTTTGCGGAACCGGGCATTGAACGCAGACCCTTCTGCTTGCCAGGGAAGCACTTATTCTACTGAGCCGTCCCCCCGGCACCTCAGTTGTTATTTTTGCACAGGAATATGGAGGTCCACAGTCTCAGTTGTGGGCTCCACGCCAGTGTTAAGGTTTTCACGAAGCTCCCTTAGCATACATGGGACTCGAGGTTCAATTTCGAGCGCCATACACACAAAAGAAAAGGCTTTCCCAACAGGGTGTTTTTTTGTTGTTTGTTTTTTGGTGGTGATGGGAAGATAACACAGGCCCTTTACCCTGAGCTGCATCCTTCACCATTTTACTTTTTGGGACAGGTTCTCAAATTACTAAGTTGCCTGCATTGGAGTGCCACATGTAGTCCTCCTGCCTCACCCTCCCAGAATGCCAGATAGCGCAGTGGATTAAAGCACCTGCTCAGGCAGATGCAGGGGCTGGGGGCTTGATCCCCATCCTGCCATGCCGGCCCCGTCCCTGGGGCACAGTGAGGCAGTGACTGAGACTGGGCCTGGGAGGCTGAAGAACTGGAAGGATCACTACAAGTCCAATCTATGTAGTGAGACCCTGCAGACCCTGTACTAAATACATTAAAAATAAAAAGAACAAGTGTGTGCCACTCACTCCAAAGGTTTTGTTTTTCTTTGTTTTGTTATGGTACCAGGGATCAAACTCCGGATCTTGTGTTTGCCAGGCAAGTGTTTATGCTGCCTAGTTGTGTCCCCAGCCCTAAGATTTTTGTTTTGTCTTTTTGAGACAGGGTCTCACTATGTAATTTAGGCTGGTCTTGAACACTTTGTAGCCCATGCTGGCCTTGAACTCAGCAGTCCTTGCCTCAGCCTCCCAAGTTTCCTGTTTTTTTGGCTGGCTCAGCCCACCCAGAGTACAGGGCTGGTACAATATGTCGTACCAAGGATTGAACTGCAATCCCCTGCGCCTGCCTAAGCTTGCCTAAGCAGGTGCTTTAGACTGCTGAACTATCTCACTGGACCTCCAAAGTTTCTTTTTAAACATTTGCCTGGTGCCTTGCTCACCCTTATACAATCCAGGCAGTATTACATGGACATGCAATTGGGGTGTTGTAATCACAGGTTTGGGCATTTGGCTCCACCTGGGGAAACCATGGGTAGAGATGCAGCCAGGGTGTAGCCTGGGCAGGGACTAGGACATCTGTATCCCTTGGTGGGCTGCAGTGGGTTAGGGTGGGGCCTTTGTGGGTTCAGGTTATAGAAGTGAGGTAGGTAGGGAAAAGGTATGGTTGCGCACTGTCAGGGCAGGGTAGACTCTACCCCAGTAGATGCTCTGTTCCCATCACCTCCAAGACAGGCCATCCCCACAGCTGTCCTGTTCATCTGCCTTTGGAGCCCAATGCATCCATCTGCCTGTCAGGCCTCACTAGTTCCTGTAAAGAACAAGAGCGGCAGGGACCACCTGCCTAAGCCCTGCAGGGCAGGTTTCCTGAGCTGAGCCCTTGATGCCATGAATCATTGTCCCCAGCTCCCTGTGCCATGGACTCAGCCTACAGATAAGTGAAATGCAGACACACACACCCCCACCTGCCACAGAGAGACTTCTGGGGAGGTTGTGACATTCAGGACTGAAGACATCTGTCAAACAGGTGGGTACCTCGACAAATGAAACTTCCTCTGCTTCAGGTGAAAATGCTTGGAGCCAAGTTTATGCCCTGACACCACCTGACCCTTCAGGCTGCATCTAGTACCCAATCCTATGCAGCTCCCTGTCCTGTACTGTATCCTTGCCAAGTCTGTGCTTGTGCCCTTGTCCCATCGCTCTGCTTTCCTTGATTCTGCTTCTAGCACCAGAACTAGTCTGGGCCCCTAATCTGGGCTTCCTCCTCCTAACTTCAGTCCCTGAGTTTTTTCTCAACCCAAGGTCATGTTGGCTAGCCTCTCAGTGCTTTCAGATCAAAAGGTAAGGCCCAACATCAGCTCATTGGAACCAGAAAGTAAAACACAAATCAAGTATGTGAGACACATCTGCCAAATAGCTCAGCAGATTAAAGCGCCCCGGCCTCCCTTGCCGGCCCTCCCCCAGGGCGCCTGAGACAGTGAATGAAACTGGGCGTGGTGGCATGTGCCTGTAATCCCAGCACTTGTGAGGCTGTAAGCATGAGAATCGGCCTGGTAGACAGCTCAGTAGAGTAAGCGCTTGCCTGGCAAGTGCAAGTGCCTGAGTTCAAACCCTAGTTCCACCAAAACAAGCAAAAAAACAAACAAATGCAAAAA